AAGAATTAATGCAATAAGCGGCGCCATTTTTTCATGAATATTGTTTTTTTTTATGATTTTCTTAATTTTTCATCTTTGAAAAATAAAATAAAATAAAAATCATGTCAAAAAATTATGAAATTTTGCAGACACGATATTTAAATTTTTCTGGGCATGCTTGTAAAAAAAGGCACAATAATTTTTTTGATGAATATTCTATTTTTTATGATTTTCTTAATTTTTCATCTTTGAAAAATAAAATAAAATAAAAATCATGTCAAAAAATTATGAAATTTTGCAGACACGATATTTAAATTTTTCTGGGCATGCTTGTAAAAAAAGGCACAATAATTGACAAAAAAAGTAAAACGCTATCAAAAAGCCCCCGACCTGACTAGTAGGGCGCTCAGGGGCCCGAATGGGTAAAAACTTTACATTTTTATTTATGTTTTGCATTCTAAAACTATTATACGATGTTTAGGAATTAATGCAATAAGCAGCACCATTTTTGGATGAATAATCTATTTTTTATGATTTTCCTTATATTTTGTCTTTGAAAAGTACAATAAAATAAAAAGAACGTCAAAAAATTATAAAATTTCGTAGACACGTTCCTTACATTTTTTTGGGCAAGTCGGTAAAAAATTGTCTCAAAAAATGATAAAAAAAGGAAAATGCTTTCGAAAAGCCCCTGACCCGTATAGTGGGGGCGCCCAGGGGCCGAGATAAGCCAAAAATTTAATTTTTTTATTTATATTTACATTTTAAAATTAATATACGATTTTTAAGAATTAATGCAACAAGCGGTACCATTTTTTGATGAATATTCTATTTTTTATGATTTTCTTTATTTTTCAATTTAAAAAATAAAATAAAATAAAAATGACATCAAAAAATTATGAAATTTTATAGACATGATCCTTACATTTTTCTGGGTATGCCAACAAAAAAAAGGCCTAAAAATTTGACATAAAAAAGTAGAACGCTGTCAAAAATCGCTCAGCCCGAGTAGTAAGGCGCCCAGGGGCCGGGATGGGTAAAAAATTTACACTTTTATTTATGTTTTGCATTCTAAAAGTATTGTATGATTTTTAGGAATTAATGCAACAATCGGCACCATTTTTTTGATGAATATTCTATTTTTTATGATTTTTCTTATATTTCCTCTTCAAAAAATAAAATAAAATAAAAACGACATCAAAAAATTATAAAATTTTACATACACGATCCTTACATTTTTCTAGTTATGCCTGCAAAAAATGGTCTCAAAAAATGACAAGAAAAAGTGAAACGCTATCAAAAAGCCCCCGACCCGCGTAGTGGCCTTCCAGGGGCCAGGATGGGTCAAAAGTTTACATTTTTATTTATGTTTTAAATTCTAAAATTAATATACAATTTTTAGGAATTAATCTAATAAGCGGCACCATTTTTTGAAGAATATTCTATGTTTTATGATTTTCTTTATTTTTCATCTTTGAAAAATAAAATAAAATAAAAACGAAGTTAAGAAATTATAAAATTTTATAGACACGATTCTTACATTTTTCTAGATATGTCTGGAGAAATGGCCTAAAAAAAGTCAAAAAAAGTAAAACGCTGTCAAAAAGTTACGCGGGGCACCCATAGGCCGGGATTGGTAAAAAATTTAAATTGTTATTTATGTTTTACATTCTAAAGTTAATATACAATTTTTAGGAATTAATGCAACAAGCTGTACTATTTTTTTATGATAATCTATTTTTTATGATTTTCTTTATTTTTCACCTTTGAAAAATAAAATAAAATAAAAACGGCGTAAAAAAATTATGAAATTTTATAGACACGATCCTTACATTTTTCTGGGCATGCCTATTAAAAATGTCCTCAAAAAGTGACAAAAAAAAGAAAAACCATGTAAAATAGCCCCCGGCCAGCGTAATGGGGCGCCCAGGGGCCTAAATGTGTTAAAAATTTACATTTTTATTGATATTTCACCTTTGAAAAATAAAACAAAATAAAAATGACGTCAAAAAATTATGAAATTTTGCAGAAACGAGCCTTACATTTTTCTGGACATGCCTATAAAAAATGGCCTAAAAAAATGACAAAAAAAGAAAAACGCTATAAAAAAACCCCCGGCCCGCATAGTGGGGCGTCCAGGGACGGGGATGGGTAAAAAATTTACATTTTGATTTATATTTTGCATTCTAAAATTAATATACGATTTTTAGAAATTAATACAACAAGCGGCACCATTTTTTTTATGAATATTCTATTCTTTATGATTTTCTTTATTTTTTATATTTAAAAAATAAAAGAAAATAAAAATGACGTCAAAAAATTATGAAATTTTGTAGACACGATCCTTACATTTTTCTGAGTATGTCTGAAAAAAATGGCCTAAAAAATGTTAAAAAAAGTAAAACGCTGTCAAAAAGCCCGCGCCCCGCGTAGTGGGGCACCCAGGCGCCAGGATGAGTCAAACATTTACATTTTTATTTATGTTATGCATTTTAAAATTAATATACAATTTTTAGGAATTAATGCAATTAGAGACACCCTTTTTTGATGAATATTCTATTTTTTTATGATTTTTTTTTATTTTTTGTCTTTGAAAAATAAAATAAAATAAAAATGACGTCAAAAAATTATGAAATTTTACGAAAACGATCCTTATATTTTGTCTACTCATGCATGCAAAAAATGCGTCAAAACATGACAAAAAAGTAAAACGTTGCCAAAAAGCCCCTACCCCCCGTAGTGGGGCACCCAGGGGCCGGGATATGTTAAAAATTTATATTTTTATTTATGTTTTACATTCTAAAATTAATATACGATTTTTAGGAATTAATGCAACAAACGGCACCATTTTTTGATGAATATTCTATTTTTTATGATTTTCACTATTTTTTATTTTTGAAAAATAAAATAAAATAAAAACGACGTCAAAAAGTGTGAAATTTTGTAGACACGATCCTTACATTTTTCTGGGCATGTCTGCGAGAAATGGACTCAAGAAATGACCAGAAAAAAGAAAAACACTGTAAAAAAGTCTCTGGCCCGAGTAGTGGGGCGCCCAAGGGCCGGGATAGGTCAAAAATTACATTTTTATTTATTTTTTACATTTTAAAATTAATATATGATTTTTAGGACTTAGGGCCCGTTCATTTCGCTGATTCGAGTTTGTAATTCGAGTTGAGATGTGATTTTATGTGAGAGCTTTTTACTGTAGCAAAAAAGTTAGATGTGATTGTTTGTGAGAGCTTTTTACTGTAGCAAAACTCGAATTGGTGAAGTGAACGGGGCCTTAATGCAATAAGCGGTACTATTTTTGATGAATATTCTATTTTTTATTATTTTCTTTATTTTTTCATTTTTGTTTGTTCTCTTAAGCCTCGTTCATTTCACCGATTCGAGTTTTCAGTTTTAGGTTTCTACAGTAAAAAGCTCTCATAAAATGTCACATCTAACTTTTTCTACTACAGTGAAAAGTTATCAGAAAATGTCACATCTCAATTCGAATTGAAAACTCGAATCTGCGAAGTGAACGAGGCTTTATATTCTAGCAATTTAGTTGTGTTTTTGTGACGTGTTTCTTGTGCACGATTCATCTAAAGAGACGATTGTAAATCCGAATGATGTTTTTTTTTAAAAAAAAATTAAGGGTGCATGTATGTAGCCCACTGACATCTAAGGAATTTATTTATTGTGAAATTGCATTCCTTCCCCATAAATTGAAGGTGCCTTCTTTGTTATTCCCATAAATTACATTTCTTTTCACGCAAAGGTTTTTTTTTTTTATTGTTATTTTTAATATAAAAGAGGGGACAGTTTTTACTTTTTAGGGTTCACAAAATGATTCAATTTTTAAGTTTTGGTTTAATTATGTTAAAATAACAAGAATGCTTAGAACTTTAAGGTCACTCCTCATTTTACCTCGTGAACTTTGAAAATCTCTATTTTACTATTCTAAATTTTCATTAACTTTCACTTTGTCTTTTCTATCTCAATTTTCGTTTAAAAGAGAAGAAAAACGTCTCACGTGCACTCACATGAATGATGTTTAAGGGTAAAGTCGTAATTGAATTTTTGGTGATTTGCACTTATACCCCCTAAATTTGGAGTCACCCCATTTTACCCCTTGAACTTTGGAGTCCCCCACTTTTCCCCTGAACTTTAAGGTACCTCCACTTTGCCCCGTGAATTTTTTCATTGTTCTCTCCATATTATTTCAAACTTTGAATTTCTCTCATTTTTGAAAAGTGTAGTATTAAATGATGAAATATTTTGCGAAAATATTTTAGAGATATTAACAAAAAGTCGATAAAGTGTTTTAGGATGAATTTGTATATTTTAACTTAACTTTTATCGGTATCGACATTTCTGTAAAATTCAGGTACTCATATGTCTTACTACGAATTAAATCAATGAAAATAATTCAAATGGAAAACAAACATGATAAAAAGGACATCAAACCGTGTTTAAAAAATAAAATAAAAAAGAAAAATCATATTGAGTGATCAGATTACTATGGAGGTGAATGAGCGGGTACCAATCTTAATCAGTAGAGGGAGCAAAGTGAGAAAGTTTAAAGTTTAGGGTAGCACATTGGGAGCTATAAAAAATTCATGGGACAAAATGAGGATGATTCAAAAGTTTAGGGAGTAAAGTATGGGCGACTTCAAAGTTTAAGAGGCATAAGTGCAAATCACTAAAAATTTAATTACGATTTTACTCTCATATTATGTATGTAAGTGCACGTGAGACGTTTTCTGTTTCTTTTGAATGAAAATTGGGATGGAAGGGGCAAAGTGGAATTTTATAAAAATTTCGAATAATAAGGTGATAATTATTAAAATTTAAGAGATAAAATGAGAGTAATCTTAAAATTTAGAGACATAGGTGATAATAATCCATGAATTTAACTCTTTCTGCTGTAAAAGAAAAAAAAAAAAAAGAGAGAGAAAAAAGGGACCCGCAGAAGAAAAATTGAAAAACGAAAAATGAGAACTCAGTTGCGGATGTGGAACAAAAGTCTTAAACCTCACAAGAACCCTCCCAAAGGCTTCTCCCTCTCTGTGCCGCCAAAAAGCCTGTTCTGTTCTTCTCATTTGCCCTAACTCTCTCACTCCTCCGCTCTTTCTTCTTTCTCTTCACCATCCTCATGGCTGCCTCTGAGGTCTCTCTCTCTCTCTCTCTCTCTATTTTCATTTCTGTATTTTCAATCTTTGCCTTCCGATTAATGCAATTTCTCATTTGTTCTCCTCAAGCTTCCCACTTTCATTTCTGTTTTCGGTTCTTCCGAGCTGAAATGATTGTTCTTCGCCTCCAAATCCCTAAAGCAATCGATAAAGCTACTTTCTTTTTGTCTTAGTTCGGTCTTGATTCCGTTTGTTTCACGTAATCGGTTCGATAACTGATTCGGTTTTCATCTGCAGGCCGTGACAGAGTCGGTGGAGGCAGTCCGGTTCAGTTTCTTGACGGACGAGGAGGTTCGCAAGCACAGCGTTGTGAAGATAACGAACCCGGTTTTGCTCGACAGCGTCGAACGACCCGTCCCGGGCGGGCTCTACGATCCCGCATTAGGTTCTTTGGATGAAAGAACACCGTAAGTCTGTTCGTTACAATTTTATTATTATCGTTTTGGTTTGAACGGGAAAAACTGCATAATTGTTCATGAGGATGAAAGAATTTAGCTTTCAATGCTGTATTTTTGTTGTTTGTGTTATAATGTTAGGTGAAGGCTTCAAGGATAGGTGTACAATTATTTTCTGTAACAACGGCTCGAAATTTATCAGACTAAGTTTACACTTTTCCAAAGTTGTGACATAAATGTCTTGTTGTCTTTTGTACTTCTACATGTTATAGTGTAGGATCGGCTTCTTCGTGACAAACTCTATAATCTATTGTCCGTGCAAGGATGAAATTGAACTCTTACAAGGTTTGGGGTTCGAACCTCCTCATGGGCCACTACATGACAAATGTCATAGTTTTCTGCCTTCTAAAGATTATAGGGTTTGGCGGAATGCTCCAGTTTCAAACTCAGCCTCACAAAGTGAAACCGGGAGATTTTTTGATATAAAAATAATGATGAAATTGAACCGATAGTGTAAGGACGTGTTTGGCACGGTTTTTAGGAGCCGGCTTTTGGTTTCCTGGGCTCAAAATAGAGGCATTTGAATGAAATACTAAGAAAGTTTTAACCCTTTTTAGAAGATTAGGGAATTTTACTTTGAAGGCTGTATTTTTGTTGTTTGTGTTATGACTTCGTTATCTTTAAATTATTATGATGAAAGGGAACCATAGGGTTAGTGTTCTTATTTTGTTTAGTATGTTTTTTTCAATGCAGATGCAAATCATGCGGGCAGCGTCAACTTAACTGCCCTGGACATTGTGGGCATATTGACCTCGTTTCTCCAATCTATAATCCCTTGCTGTTCAATATCCTTTACAGCATTCTAAAAAGAACTTGTTTCTCTTGTTACCACTTTAGGCGTAATCCCGTTGAGGTAAGTCCAATTTAGCGAGTAAAAAGATGATTTCTCTTGTGAGGGATTCGTACCCCGGGTCTTTCTACTCTGTAGCTATGCGTCTTCCTAACATTTCTTTTTGGCATTTGCTTATGATTTAAGGTCAAGAAATGTGTTTCTCAACTGGAACTTATCTTGAAAGGTGATGTTGCTCGGGCGAAAGATTTAAATTCTCGCCCTTCCAGTGAATCCTCGCATCTAAAGGACTACGGTTATCGTGGGAGCAAGGATCGCAGTGCCAAGCCTTCAACGCAACCAAAGCTTACCTCGCTTCAGTTAAGTGAAGCAATGTCCGTTTTGAATAATTTTTTAAAGCCGAACCATACAAAGTGCAGAAATTGCGAAGCACACCGTCTTACTATTACGCAACCTGTTTTTGGGTGGTTAAATATGGTACGTTTTCTGCGTCCTTAGTGCTTGAAAATTTGTTGCATAGATCGCGATTGCAAGTTTTCTGTTTCACGTGTGCAATTTTTCCTTTGGTTTACTATTGACTATATACATGTGTGTGTGAGCGCGCGCACGTGTATTTTCCTTATTGTTTTTATTTCTTTTTGTTTTCTTTATATTTCTCTTCTTGTTTGTGCTTAGTATTGTTAGTTCATGCTTTTCTGTTTGCTGGATATTAATAGACTAGTAGTGGTTTTCCCTGTCAACCCTTGTTCATGCATTGGAATGTCAACACATTGATTTAGAGTTTTTAGATGAGATATTCTGGTGGTGTTTGTCCCAAGTCCCTTCTTCTTTTAAGGGAAATTATCTAATTATTGGTAGTGGAAATGTAACTTATGATTGTGTTTGAAATTACAATTCTCAGTCTTGTAACTGTTCTCAGTTTCTAACCGACTCTTCACTTATTTTATTGATGGCTGTAGGAGCGTATATCAGGTGCCAGAGCTAGAGCAAATGTTATTAGAAACTCCAAGTTAGAAGGGCCTTTCTCTGATGGGGAATCATTGCCCGAGGAAGAAATTATTAACGATGTAACTTCTCCGGATAGTGATGCTGATACTGACACTCCAGCTACTTCTACAAAGAGTCATAGAAGTAAAGGGGGCAAGGTCCCTCGTGAGTACTTAAAGCAGACAGAAACCTTTTCTGGAGGACCTATGTTGCCATCCGATGTATGCTTCTTGCCAGTGTTCGCTTGACAACTAAAAATTATGTTTAGGTCAAAGTTGCTGGATTTTACTTTGGCCTAGTCCGTTTTCATGACCTTCAAAATAGAACCTAATCTGATTAGTATCTCTTTTGTTTTGTACTTTTGTTTCTTGCGTTTTTTTTTTTTTTTAAAGATAAAAAAAAATCTCTTCTGTTTTTGTCACAGGTTAAAGAAATGATTAGACTCTTGTGGGAAAATGAGATTGAACTCTGTACGTACATTACCGATATCCAGCATCAGGGAATTGGAAACAAAGCAGATCACTCAATGTTTTTCTTAGAGACTATTCTTGTACCTCCAATCAAATTCCGCCCCCCATCCAAGGGTGGTGATTCTGTAAGTGGATTTTACTTAAAAACTGGTAGCTCTCTCTTACTTAGGCAAGTTTTTTTTGACTTGGTGAAGATACGAAATCCCAAAACTTGTGATTTTTTGACTTGGTGAAGATACTAAATCCCAAACGTGTGAACATTCCAAACAACCTTAACATGGTATCAATTTCCTATAACTGTCTTGTTAACTTATGAGAAGAAGGTGTTTAACTGCTTATACAATTTTTTTTGATATATTGCTAGCTTCTCCTAGGACTCGAGCCTGGGATCTCTCCCTTAAACCTACCCCACCCTTATCAACTGGGCTAGCACCAGTTGGCGTTTAACTGCTTATCCATGCACCTAGTGCGTTCCTATTTTGTGGAAGAACGTTTTAAAGGTACCTTTGCTTGCTCCGTATGTTTTGTGCAGGTGATGGAACACCCTCATACTGTTTTGTTAAATAAGGTGCTCCAGGCCAATATTGAATTAGGAAATGCTCATGTTAATAAGCTGGAATATACAAAGATAGTACGCAGGTGGATGGATCTTCAGCAGTCTGTAAATGTGATGTTTGATAGCAAAACATCTACAGGTGAGTGCACTTTTATCAGTGTTGGTTTGTCTATCTCCATTTTCTTCAGTTGTAAGCTTTGTATTACATCTGGGGGTATGTTTTGGTTTCTAAAGGGACCCTTTTTGTAGTTGTGTCCGTGTTTTTTTGATCATGCCTTTTGTTTTCATTTTGTTTCCTTTCTGCTTTTTTCTTTTTTTTTTTAATTTTTGTTTTTGAGGATTTCTCATCCTCCTTTACCTTGTATTGAACATTTTTATCAATCAAGGTTTTCTGTTTATTATATAAAAAAAAAAAAACTGAAAGATTAGTAAGACAGTTTTCTCAAAACCCTAACAATGGTGGTATTCCAGAGAGCACCAACTATCTTAAGGGTTTCCCCATTTTCCCACTAATTCGACCGTAACCCGTCACTAACTTTTAATTTCCCTTTTTACGAATATTTCCTTCTAACAAATTTTAGAAACTTACAGAGACCTACTACATAAAAGCATGAAGGAAAAAATAAATAAATGGCAAAGTTTTAGCCTATGCCCGTCTCAAAATATATATAAATGGCAGCAGGGAGTTGGTCAAGTCTGTAAGGCCAGAGCAGCAAAAAATTACAACAAATAAGAAGCTTAATCCCTCTATAAACCAGAAAACATGGAGTCTTCAGAAGTCTCTCCTTCAGCAACCACAAAGCTACCTAAAGCTTTACTTTATCCATGGAACATCAGAGTCCTCAACATCTTCAAAAACTATTTTGGTTTTTCGCAGCAGATTGCCCAACATTAAGCCATTATTACCGTGCATCCGTAGCAACTTGCCCCCTTCTGTCGCGAGCAAATGAGTAATCTGCCCGGAACAACTCTGCAACGTCTCTGGAACCACCCACACTGCTCCCAGGTCTTTCAACAATATGAACCAAAAAATAATGGAAAGCGCAATGCGAAAATAAATGTACCTACCAAACATCCTCACCCTCCCATCATCAACTTCCTCCAACACCTGTTGCTTTGTATTAGTCCAACCTATTTCTTGCCATGTGTTTCTGCAAAGGAAGTTGGCTGCCTTTGCCATGAATTTTGATTTAAAAAGATCTTCTTGCAAACACTTTTTATTTTTCGTTTTAAATTCTGTTTATATTGCTACATGTTTCTACATGAAAATCTTACTTTTTGTCTTTTGGATGCTCTGTTAGTTGTATGACAATTATCCTTACTGATGCTGTTAGTTGCTGTTAGTTGTGTGAGGATTAACTAATCATTTTGCTCATGAATAAGTCTACTGACGCTAAGTTAGCAACTCTTCTCTGCTAAGCTGTAATCATGAATAATAATAATGTTGAGGAATTATTCCTTACTTCATCAGCTCAGCGGTTCTCTGTCATTTTAGGTCAAAGGAATGTTGCACCAGGAATATGTCAGTTGTTGGAAAAAAAGGAGGGCATTTTCCGCCAGAAAATGATGGGGAAGAGGGTTAATTTTGCATGCCGGTCAGTGATATCACCAGATCCCTATTTGGCTGTCAATGAAATTGGAATTCCTCCCTACTTTGCATTGAGATTAACGTATCCTGAGGTAAGGTTGAGAAAGTGGCCTTTTAATTTCGAAGTAGCATTAACTTCTTACTGATTAATAACTTTTTTTTCCCTGTTAATATTCTTTAATGATAGGTAAAGGATATATGGATCTTTACTTATGTTAATGTAATACACTGATATTTTTGCAGAGAGTTACCCCATGGAACGTTGTGAAGCTAAGGGATGCAATCATCAATGGTCCTGAAACCCATCCTGGAGCTACACACTATGTCGACAAGTTATCTACTGTGAAATTGCCTTTGAACAGAAAAGCACGTATCTCAGCATCCAGAAAATTGCCTTCATCTAGAGGAGTTGTCATGCAGAATGGAAAGACGTATGATTATGAATCTGAAGGGAAAATAGTACACCGTCACTTGCAAGATGGTGATATTGTTCTTGTCAATCGACAGGTATAACTAGTTTTAACCTCTTTTGTTCCATTTTTTTTTTAAATGAATGTCTGCCACCCATGAGATGTAGACCTCCATTTAACATGCAGTGTTTCTTTATTATGCTTGAGTAATTGATTACGATCTTCATATGTCATTTACTTCTCAACAAAGTTGGTTATAATTGGTTTACGCTCTTAGAACTTAATCTCTTTTTTATTAGCATTTGAAATTGCCAGACTTTGGAATACGGTGTTAAAAAGACGATTTGTGGATCGTTCAATTTAGTAGTAGTTAGTGGCATATGGAGGTGTTTTGTGGGTAATAAGAATTGATGTAGCTGAAGTTTGGGCAACCTTGCCAAATGGGCGAACACGCAACAGGGTTCTAATCTCTTCCCAAGAGGACATTGTTTACAAACCAAATTATTTATCTACTTAATGCTATAATCTTCAGAAGAACCAATCACTTTCACCATTCTTGATAGTTGTGCTTGTTACTCAAACTAGTAGTTGGATTTTCCCTCCGTTCATGTTCGATAGAGTCTATGGAATTGTATGGTGATTTCATTACTTTGGACAATTTGGATGGAAAGAAAAGCAAAGATAGGAAGTGACGGATTTATTTGAGAAGGTGAAATTTTCATCTTCTTTGTGTGCATCTACGGATATATCTTTTCCGGATTTCTCTTTCTTTGATTATTGTAGATTGGAAGGATGTTATTGGGGGATAAAGGCTTTGGATTGATTGGTTTTTTGTAGTTTCTACTTTTCTGCTTCATCTCCTTTTCAGGATGTTTATGGCACTCGTTTTCTGTGGATTTCTTATTCTCTTTCCTTTGTAATTGAGTATTTGTCGATGAAGGGGAGTTTTCTATTTAAAAAAATGATTCAGTAGAGTGGCTGAATAAATGATTACATTTTAATCTGTTAAATTTAAATTATTAGGTTGCTTTTATTATTTGCTGGATAATGTGATTCGGTAGGGTGGCTCAATAAATAATTTACAATTTAATATGTTAAATTTATCTTATAAGGTTTCTTTTTATATACTGTTCCATCATTCATATGAGCTGAAACTTTTCATTCTAGTTCCAATAATATGAATACTAGGTTTCTTTTTATATACTGCTCCAGTATGCATATGAGCAGAAGTTTTTCATACTAATTTCAATAATATGATTTGGTATTGTGGCTGAATAAATGATTTGAATTTATAAATTTAAATTATTTGTTGGCTTCGTTATTGGTTCATTTTGAGACCTGATGCCTCAGTTATTATTTGCTTGTTGATTTATGATATTTCAATTACGATTTTGATTTATGTGTTGCAGCCTACACTTCACAAGCCCAGTATAATGGCACATGTTGTTCGTGTGTTGAAGGGAGAGAAAACAATTCGTATGCACTATGCAAACTGCAGGTTGCTAACACATACATATTGTACTTATGCGCATATACATATAGACGTATTACAAATATATTTCTATCTTCACGTTTAGCTGCCATTTTTATATTTAGACATAGATGTACATTTATATTTTGCTTAGATTTAGTCTTAAGGTATCGTGTGCAAGAAGCAGGAATTTAGGATATGACTATTTATTTTTATTTTTATTTTATTTTTATCTAGCAAGTAATGTTTTTTCCCCCCTATAACCCTGTTCATTCCAGTACATATAATGCTGATTTCGATGGTGATGAAATGAATGTGCATCTTCCGCAAGATGAAATTTCTCGTGCAGAAGGATACAACATTTTAAATGCAAATAATCAATATGTCAAGCCTACTAGCGGTGAACCTATTAGAGCCTTGATCCAGGTCTTTCCCACTGATATTTTAGCTAAATTTTGTTTTTATCATTCTTCTGTTTTCTTTCTTTTTATGTTTGTCGAGGATTCCTATCCTCCTTCCTTTTTAATTGATTTCATTGTCAATGAAAGAAAGGTTTATTATATTCAAAAAGATAAAGTTGCTTAATTTTTAGGGAAAAAAAAGGTTTTGTATCAGGTTTTGTAACTAATTAATCATCTATTTTTTAATTCTTCAGGATCATATTATCAGTGCCGTCCTCCTTACAAAGAAGGATACCTTTTTACGTTGGGATGAGTTCAACCATCTTCTTTATAGCACCGGTCTTTCAAATTCAGGCTCAGGTGCTTCTTCCAGAAAATTCGGGAATAAAGTTTTTGTTTCAGATTTTGAAGCTGAGCTTAAATCCCTTCTTCCTGCGATTTGGAAACCAGAGCCTCTTTGGACAGGGAAACAGGTAAATTATACTGGTTTATGTATACAAATTTTAAATTTCACATAGAGGCTAAAATGTATCCAAAGATAAGTATATATCTATGATATTCTGATTATGTGAAGCATACACACTCCTGGATGGAAGGTTTACATCAGCATTTGGTCTAATTTTGTCACACACGCATATATATGTATGTATGTATGTATATTTGACGTTCTTTTTTTTTTCTGACATGCCTGTATGGATTTCTTTGCTTAAAGAGATTAAAAACTATTTGTTGGGCGAGCTAATTTGACGTTGACTCCATTGTCTAGCTTTAGTGGTTGTTGCTCTTGTCAAAGTCTTTTCTTCTTGTTGCAGGAGGATCTTTTACTCTCATTTTGAATTCTTTCTCATTTATTGTCTTCCATAAGTACATGTTTCTTACCCAAAAGAAAATGTCCTTGCCCCTTGGTAGGTCATTACTGCGTTACTAAATTACATCACAAGGGGTTTCCAAGCATTTACTGTTGAAAAAGGTGGGAAGATCCCTCGTGATTTTTTCAGAAGTAGAACAGTTGAAGATGAATCAAGCAGAAAAAACGCTCATAAAGACGATCAAGATGAAGAGGAGAAACCGAGTAGAAGAAAAGCTGATCATATTGAATCAAAGAGAAAGAAGGAACCAATTACAGGAAGAAAAATTGATAAAAATGAACTGAAGATGAAGGAAGAGCTGGACGACAAGTTATTTATCTATAGAAACAATTTTGTTCGTGGTGTTATTGACAAGGCTCAATTTGGTGACTATGGTTTGATCCACACAGTGCACGAACTCTATGGGTCAAATACGGCTGGTCTTTTGCTTTCATCATTGAGTCGGTTATTTACTGTTTTTTTACAGGTTAGCCATTTTACTTTTGTCTTAATTTCTCTCCTAGAATATTGGTTGCATAGTAAGTTTTGTCAATCGCATAGATTAAATTGCTTGATACGATGTTTATGATTCAGATGCATGGGTTCACATGTGGAGTCGACGATCTTTTGATAGTGAAAAGTAAAGACAAAGAAAGGGGGAGAGTACTTGAAAAATGTGAAGATATTGGCGAAGAAGTGCACCGTGAGTTTGTTGGGGTCAAAGATGATGAAAATATAGGTAAGCTACCCTGATGGGTTATAAAGCTACATCAAAATCTATTTTCCATGTGAATGTGTGGGGTTTCTCCAGGAGTAATTAAGTGCTAGGATTCAATTATCTTTCTAAACTTTGATTTTTGAATACAAAGTGGGAAAACTTATCAGACAGCCATGCCCTGACATTCTTTGAAGATTGTTGGCCTGATTATTGGTATTATCATAATTTTACTAGTGCTAGTTTGAGTTGATGGATGATGTATCTATTTTGGCTTACAGACCCCTTCACCTTACAACTCAAAATTGAAAAAACTGTTCGAATCAATGGAGAAGCTGCCTTGGCATCTCTGGATCGGAAAATGATTAGTCAGGTTAATGATATAACAAGCAAGTCCGAGGAACTTAAAGGACTGTTGTCTAAAGCGTTACTTAAACCCCCCATCAAGAATTGTATCTCTCTTATGACGACATCTGGGGCTAAAGGTGGCGCGGTAAGTTTCTGAGATTCTTTATATATTTATTTTGGGCAGTTATTAAAACAGAGAATAGGACTTTGAATAAATATTGAATTGCTCTATCTTGTATGCTAAATTACACGGGAATATAAAGTTCCCTGCTGATGTACAAAGAAGGTAACTAATCTTCCTAATTAAAGAGAAATAAATAGCTAAACGATTATATCCTAAAATCCCTCTTTGACAGCCGGGCTACAATATAACAACCTATCTACATGCCATATATAGTACATATTGATTACAATTATTTTAGGAATATTCCAACACCCCCCCTCAAGCTGGCGTGAAGATGTCATTCAGGGCGAGCTTGTTGATGAAACTTTCAAACTGTGCCTTGGGAAAACCCTTGGTGAGAATATCTGCAACTTGGCTAGTGGTTGGTATGTAGGACATGCATATCACACCGCTGTCCAACTTCTCCTTGATGAAGTGTTTGTTCACTTCTACATGTTTTGTTTTGTCATGTAGAACCGGATTGTTTGCGATCGAGATTGCTGCCTTGTTGTCACAATAGACCTCGATAGGTGTAGGTATAGGAACCTTCAATGCTTCCAAAAGTCCTTTTATCCATAAAACTTAACAAAATCCATGTGTAGGTATAGGAACCTTCAATTCTTCCAAAAGTCTTTTTACCCATAAAACTTCACAAAATCCATGTGCCACTGAACGAAACTCGGCTTCAGCACTGCTTCTTGTTACCACACTCTGTTTTTTACTCCTCCAAGTAGCCAAATTTCCTCCAACGAAAGTGCAGTAACTTGAGGTGGATCTTCTATCACTTATATTGCCTTGCCAATCTGCATCAGTGTAGGCTTCTATCTGAAGATGATCTCCGTTTATGAAGAGAAGTCCCTTCCTAGGAGTTCCCTTAAGATATCTTAAAATTCTGAACACGGCTTCAAAGTGAGCAATCCCAGGTGAGTGCATGAACTGACTTACCACACTTACTGTGAAAGCTATGTCAGGTCGTGTGTGAGCCAAATAGATTAGTCTTCCAACTAATCTTTGTTATCGTTCTCGGTCGACTATTTTGTCAGCAGTAGCTAGTTTCAGCTTCAAATTAGACTCAATCGGAGTATCTGTTGCCTTGCAGCCAGTCATGCTTGTTTTTTTAAGTAAATCAAGAACATACTTTCGTTGGTTTATGAAGATGCCTTCCTTCGATCTAGCAAATTCCATACCTAGGAAGTATTTTAGAGTTCCCAGGTCTTTGATCTCAAATTCAACATCCAACTTCTTCTTCAAGTTGTTGATTTCAACAAAATCGTCCCCTGTCATGATTATATCATCCACATACACAATCAAGATAGCTAATTTACCTCCAGTTGAGTGTTTGAAGAACAATGTATGATTAGCTTGGCTCTGTGAGAAGCCATGCTTTCTGACAACATTTTCAAAACGCTCAAACCAGGCTCTTGGGGATTGTTTTAGACCATACAGGGATTTCTTCAGCTTGCACACTTTACCCTTCCCAAGACATTCTTCAAATCTGGGTGGTAGATTCATGTAAACTTCTTGCAGATCTCCATTTAAGAATGCATTTTTGATATCCAACTAATGGAGTGGCCAGTTGCAATTAATTGCAAGAGAAAGAAGTATTCAGATGGAATTTATCTTAGCAACATGAGCAAAGGTGTCTTGGTAGTCTATACCGTGAGTTTGAGTGAATCCTTTTGCCACGAGTCTTGCTTTGTATCTTTCCACTCTACCATCAGCTTTACATTTCACGGTAAACACCCATTTACAACCAACTGTCTTCTAATCGGTTGGCAGGTCAATCACACTCCAAGTGTCATTCTTCCTGAGAGCATTCATCTCTTCCATCACGGTCGATTTCCAATTCGGATCACCTAATGCTTCATGAACAGTTCTTGGAACAAACAAATTAGAATCCTAGACACAAATGCTTTATGATTGTCTGACAATCTTTCATAGGACAAATACTTCGCAATAGGATGTCTAGTGCAAGTTCGTGTTCCTTTTCTTAGAGCTATTGGAAGATCAAGATCATTTGAGGATGAATCAGGCAATTCAAGTGATAGTGGAGTAGGAAGAAAGGACGGATTACTCTGAGTGGTTGTGGAAGGACCATTACTCGGTGAATCAAATTGAACATCTGTTGGGGAACTTTGCGAAATCTCTTTCCGGTATAAACCTAAAGTTCAAAATGAGGAATATTATGGCCTTTTTGGAGTACTTCTCCCCATGTCTCTGATGCAACAACATTTGGCAAAGTAGGCTTAGGGAATTCATGAGTTTCCATACGTTCAACAATTGTTTCCTGAATTTGTTTATCAAAATTGATTAAAGGAATTGACTCAGAAACATTTGGTGCAGGTAGAGTTATAGTTTTCCAAAAATTATCTTCCTCAATTACACTCTCCCCTCGAAGAGAATTTTTCTTGAAAGAAAGGTTGGGCTTCAACAAAGGTTACATCCATACTCTCAAAAAATTTTCTTGTGATAGGATTAAAACATTTATAACCCCTTTTATTAGATGCATAACCGATAAAGACACGGTTTTTAGATTTTGGATCCAGTTTTTATCAAAAGTTATTTGGTATGTAAACATAACATGTACAGCCAAAAACTTTCAGAGGTAGATCAACACTTAACCAAGATGTGGGAAAGGCCTTTTTTAAACAATTTAATGGTGTTTTAAATTTTAAAACTCGAGATGGCATTCTATTTATCAAATAATAGGTGGTTAAAAGAGCATTATCCCAAAGATATTTAGGAACATTCATTGAAAACATGATGGCACGGGCAACTTCAAGCAAGTGTCTATTTTTGCTTTCGGCAATTCCATTTTGTTCTTAAAATGCCAATCTTAGTCTGAAATTAATTTTCAATACAACAACAACAACAACAAGCCTTAATCCCAACTAATTGGGGTCGGCTATATAGATTTCACTTTTTCACACAATTCTGTTCGAAATTAAACTTTCCTGAAGGTCTAGATCTAGAATGCCTTTCCTAACGACTTCGGTCCACGTAATTCTTGCTCTACCCCTCCCTCTCCTAGTATTAGGTATAGGAATGTCATCCCAAGCACGGACTGGTGCTTCTAGCGGTCTACGTTGGACATGCTCGTACCACCTCAAGTGGCCTTCGCGCACCTTATCTTCTATTGGTGCTACACCTACTTTACTACGAATAACTTTATTTCTTATGCGATCCATTCTCGTATGGCCACTCATCCATCTTAACATACGCATTTCTGCCCACACTCATCTTAGACATATGTTGTCTCTTAATGGCCCAACATTCACTACCATATAACATAGCTGGGCGGATTACAGTCCTATAGAACTTTCCTTTTAACTTAATAGGCATCTTGCTATTATATAAAACTCCCGTAGTATTCTTCCACTTAACCCATCCTGCCTTAATCCTATGTTGAATATCCTCTTCTATATCCCCTTCGTACTGCATTATAGACCCAAGGTACTTAAACTTCCTTGAAGCCCCAATCTCCACACCATCTAAAGAAATTCTATCACTCTGATTACTTGAGTTACTAAACCTACAATGCATGTATTCAGTTTTCGTCCTACTTAACTTAAATCCCTTCGTCTCAAGAGTTTGTCTCCACAGTTCTAACTTACGGTTAACTCCTTCCCTATGTTCATCAACTAAAACTATATCGTCTGCAAAAAGCATACACTAAGGAACTCTATCTTGGATTTCTCTTTTCAGCTCATCCATTACGATGGTGAAAAGATAAGGACTAAGAGTAGATCCTTGATGAAGGCTGATCTGAATGGGGAACTCTGTCGTGTAGCCTCCAGCAGTTCTCACACTCGTGACCACCTCATCGTACATGTCCTTAATTACCTTAATATACCTTACATGCACTCTTCTCTTTTCTAGCACCCACCATAAAACTTCTCTCGGCAGCCTATCATATGCCTTTTCTAAATTTATAAAGACCATATATAGGTCCGTCTTAACTTCTCTGTACCTTTTCATCAGCATCCTAAGAAGAAAAATGGCTTCTGTGGTTGATCTGCCCGGCATGAAGTCAAATTGGTTACCTGAGATGGTAGTTGTGACCCTTAATCTCCTTTCGATAACTCTCTCCAAAAGTTTCATAGTGTGGCTTATTAACTTTATGACCTTGTAATTGTTACAATTCAACACATCTCTTTTATTCTTGAAGATGTGGACAAGAATACTTTTCCTTTATGCATCAGGCATATGCTTCTTCTTTAGTATCTCATTAAAAAGCTTAGTGAGCCACACAATTTCAGCATCTCCTAATACCATCCAAACCTCTATTGGAATATCATCTGGCCCACATGCCTTTCTCTTTCTCATCTTCCGTAGTGCAGTTTTAACTTACGAGACTCTGATTCCTCTTGTATACATCAAATTAGGTTCTCCTTGTGACCTAAGATTGTCAAACTCTATCGCATGATCATCATTATAGAGCTTCTCAAAGTAACTCCTCCACCTTTCTTTAATGTCTTTATCTTTTGTCAGAATCTAATCCGTATCATCCTTAACACACCTCACTTGATTTAGGTCATGACACTTCCTTTCTCTTATCTTAGCTAGTTTATATATATCCTTCTCTCCTTCTCTACTCCCAAGTTTCCTATATACCTCATCTAAGTAAGTAGAACGAGCCTTACCAACTGCTCGCCTAGCTTCGTTCTTCGCTTCTTTGTACTTATTAAAAGTTTCAACATCCTTACGCTTTGATAAATCTCTATATAAATCCCTTTTGGTCCTAATAGCCTTTTGAACTTCCTCACTCCACCATCAGGTTTCTTTCCCAGGGGGCCTTTACCTCTAGATTCCTCTAGTACCTCATTTGCCACTTTTCTAATGCAGCTGGCCATGGCATCCCACATAGTATTTGCATTACCTATATATGACCAAGTAGCCTCCTCTAACAACTTCTCTTTAAAGGCCAATTGTTTTATTCCCTTCAAATGCCACCAACGAATTCGTGGGAGGTGGTTTATCTTAGTCCTTCTATAGCAAAGCTTAATGCTCACATCTAAGATCACTAAGCAATGTTGGGTGGCTAGTATTTCTCCAGGAATTACTTACAATTCTTACATAGAGAACGTTCTCTAGACCTTGTGAGAAAATAATCTATCTGGCTCAAGTTCCTCCTATTCTTAAAAGTTATCAAGTGAGAATATCTTTTTTTGAAAAATGTGTTTGTTATGATAAAATCATGTCCCAACGCAAATTCCAAAATAGATTTTCCTTTTTCGTTTTGAGCTCCAAAACCAAAACCACCGTGGATCCTTTCGAAGTTTTCCCTATCCTTACCAACATGCCCATTGAAATCTCCTCCAATGAAAATGCTATCCTCATTGCCTATATGACACACTAAGTCATCCATGTCTTCCCAGAACTTGATTTTAGTTTCCGCATCCAATCCTATTTGTGGAGCATAAGCACTAATTATATAGATGAACTTATTTCCTAATACCAATTTGAGCATAATAATTCTATCCCATATTCGCTTAATCTTAACTACGTCATCCTTCATAGTTTTGTCCACTAGAATACCAACTCTATTGCGACTCCTTTCCCAACTTGTATACCATAACTTGTGTCCTAAATTTCCAATCTCCTTTTCTTTCTCTCTTGTCCACTTCATTTCTTATAAGCATAAAATGTTAATTCTTCTTCTTACCATAACATCTACTAACTCCATAGATCTACCAGTTAAAGAACCTACATTCCAACTACCTAAACGAATTTTCCTATCATGGGCTAGCTCTGCCCCTTGCACACGTCCATGAATGTGCAAGGACCCCCTTGCATATTTTTCACCATATCCGGGGCCTGACATGGCGCATGGGCTCGCTTTTCCCCCGTACACTTCCATGAATGTGCGAAGACCCCTCTTGCCTATTTAACACTACCCGTGGCCCGGCATAGCGCGTCGCACTTAGGGAACGCCCCAACAGATTCTATGTGATTGAAATCCATGAGTGACTTATTTTTACGCTGGCGGTCAACCTACCGCAACCCTCATTTATCCGGGCTTGGGACCGGCTATACAAACGCATAGGCGGAGTTCTGAAAATTAATTTTTGAAAATTAATCTGAAATTAATTTTCAATCACGAGGAAAAAATCTCTAAAATGTTGTTTAACTTCGGATTTCTTTTCCAACAAATGTACCCAACATAATCGGATATGATCATCAATGAATGTCACAAAGCATTTTTTCCAGAAGGCGTGTTAACCTTAGATGGGCGCCAAACGTAACTATGAAATAAATAAAATGGTTTTGACACAAAATAAGGCTTCAAAGGAAATGAAACACGATGATCTTTAGCTAAATGACAAGCCTCACAATGTAACTTTGAACAATCAATTCCTTTAAACAATCTAGGAAATAAATGTTTAAGATATGGAAAGCTAGGATGTCCTAATCTCCTATGCCACAACATTATTTGATCATAGACAAAGGTTGGACTAGTACTACCTAATCCTTGAGCTTTTTTATTCCCGAAAGAAATCTCATCAAAGTAGTACATTCCATTTATTTCCCTAGCAGTTCTAATCGTCTTCCTTGAGCTCTGGTCCTGAAAAAACACAATGGGAAGGGAGGAAAAGAATAGAACAGTTAAAATTTTTTGATAATTTGCTGACAGAGAGAAGATTACAGGCAAGTTTAAGACCGAATTGAGAGTGATTTTTTCATAAATTTTAACGTGTCCTTTGACTGCAATGGGTGAGAAACTACCATAAACTATTCTAACTTTTTCAGCACCTGAACAAGGGAAATATGAGCTAAACATAAGTGAAGAACTTGTCATGTGATCAGAAGCCCTTGAATCGATGATCCAAGGCTTGGCTTTTGCAGGAACAGAGAGTGCTAAGTTCACTACTTGAATGTGCCATAGAACCGACATGAATACTCGGTGATGAATAGGAATTAAGTGGCTTAAGAAGATGATCTAACTGCTCCTTTCTGAAGGGAGAAGGCTCGGCTTCATTTGCAACAGGAGGGTTCTGCCCACTAAGCTTGTTTCCCTTACCATTGGACGGTCTTCCATGCAGTTTGTCGCAAGTCTCCCGTGTATGGCGCGCTTTGCCATAATAATCGCAATGTAGAAGGTTTTTGTCTGTTCCACGCTGGTTTTCGGAAATCCTGTGACTGACTTGGGCTTCGGGAATAGCTAGGGCTGACCCCTCTGCAGGTCCAGTTGCACCAGAAATTTTCTTACCCAACATCACGTCTACGGCTTTCCTCTCGGCGTACTTCAGCAAAAACTTCACCAATTGGAGGCAGTGGGTTCCTTCTAATGATTCGGTCACACACCTCGTTGAATTCAATGTTCAAACCAGTAAGAAATTTGAACACGCGGCTGACATCTACCATCTTCTTGTAATGATTACAATCCTCCGATGATTTCCATCTGTAATCATTAAACTAGTCAAGGTCCTGCCAGATTCTGTTGAGAGAATTAATATGTTTTGTATCGGAATCCTCACCTTGGCGAATTTCTCCAAGTTGCAACATTAATTCGTACATTTGGGATTGATTCCCGAGGTCGGAATACATCTGTGACACATTATCCCATAGGTCTTTGGCGGTGGAGTAGCACACGTAATTTGCACCAATCTCCTCGGCCATGGAATTAACCAACTAGGTCATTACCATTGAATTTTTAGCGTCCCAAATGGCATAGGTTGGGTCCTTCACGTCAGGCTTATTTGCATCTCCTGTAATATAGCTGATCTTACCCCTTCCTCTGATGTACATTCGGACTGACTGTGACCATCGGAGAAAATTGTCGCCATTGAGTCGGATAGTTGTTATCTGAAGAGGGTGATTTTCAGATGGGTTCCGGACGATTTGGGGTTTAGGCTGAGATGAAGATGACTGAGGTTGAGTGGATTCAGATGTGGCTTCAGACATTGTGGGAGGATAGAGCAGATTCAAACCCTAGGATTCTTTCTCTGCTTTGATACCATAAAAACAAAGAATAGGACTTTGAATAAATATTGAATTGCTCTATCTTGTATGCTAAATTACACGGGAATATAAAGTTCCTTGCTGATGTACAAAGAAGGTAACTAATCTCCCTAATTAAAGAGAAATAAACAGCTAAACAATTATCTCCTAAAATCCCTCTTTAACAGCCGGGCTACAATATGACAGCCTATTTACATGCCATATATAGTACATGTATGGAACTGGAAATGAAAACATTTTCAATCTCAGACAGAAATCGTTTCTGAAAATGCATTTGGTAAGAGATTGTTTTTAGTATAAGAAAAAATTGAAACTCCGTTTGGTTATACAATTTTCGTTTAAGCCCACACTCACTTGCCCAAAGAAAATGCATCCACCCAAAAAAAAATGAAAAATGACTTAAATTCGTTTTCAAATTTTAAGTGATTTTACACTAAACTGAAAACCGTTTTTGTTTTTGTTTTTTTTTTTTTACCTTTTTTCCTCCAAACGTGTTTTCCTCCTCAATCTCTGCTTTTTTGTCTCGGAAAACGTGAAAAATGAAAACAGAACTGATACCAAACACGCAGATTGATTACAATAATTTTAGGAATCTTCCAACAGTTATATTATGTATTTGGTCGTTGGAGTAGTGCTACATGATAGCTTTTAATGTAGTTGATAACATTTAAACTAACATGCTTTCCATGTGTTTATTGTTCTAAGTATGTCAAGACATGCTTTTTTATCCCTTTTGGACCTTATAATAGTTTTGTATTCTTGTGTATGAGTTTATACTTATTGTGATCAGTCATATTATGTTCTCTATTTGTTCAGGAGTTCAGCAGCTTTTTTGTTTCCGATCTGATTAGGAGCTGGGCCCTTTTTTTGTAGCTTAGTTTATGTTATTGTCTTGAGGATAACTCTTCCTCTAAAATTTTGTACATAATTTTTTATCATGAATATAAAGTTTCTTGTTTCAAAAAAAAAAGAAGTGATATTGCTAGAGTCAATTATTCTTTTCAAAGTTTTTTGGGTTATTTACACCAATGCCCCGGAGGATATACGTTTGTCTCATTTTGGCCTACAGACATACACTTTTAAGGTCAAGCTGCCCTATTTTATTGAATTACACGTTTTTGACCCCTCGTGTCATTTTTATGTCTATTTTAAGACAGAAATGGCCTCAAGGATGGCACATGAGCCTTTCTAGAGGGATACAAAATTTTAATAGATAGAAATATGAAACCATTGAGTTAAAGAGAAACTGCACGCTCTTTTGCACAATGGAAGCTGCATCCTGAAAGGTGAATTGGCACCTTTTGGATGCTCTTGTAACTGGAAGAGATGCCAAAGCATCCTCGCTGTCAGTTTTTAATTGCTTCAAGCAAAAATTTTAACATCTAACAATCCACCTATACGAGTGACAAATCATAAATTTTTAAGATGATTAAAATAATCATGGGAACATGTGTCTCGACTCAGAATGAGTATTCTTAATTCTATTTAGGAGAGGTCAACTTGTGCTCTGAACTTTGCATACTGAATCTATGCAAGTTTATTAGTCTGCTTAAATAATATGTGTAGTTTATTTTGTTCCGAGTCTAGCTCCTACTTATAAAATCTGCAATAGAAAATATTTTCCAGCACAGCGGCTTTATTTACTGACCAGGATGCATGATATGTATTGGTTTGAAGATAAGAAGTGAAATACATTGAATAGACTTAACATTCCAATAACTTCTGCTTTGAACAGGTCAATTTCCAACAAATATCTTCACATTTAGGCCAACAGGAGCTAGAAGGAAAGCGAGTTCCTCGAATGGCTTCTGGGAAAACGTTACCTTGCTTCCCTGCGTGGGACTGGAGAGCTCGTGCTGGAGGCCTTGTAATAGATTGCTTTCTTTCTGGTCTTCGCCCTCAGGAATTTTACTTCCATTGCATGGCTGGTCGTGAAGGGTAAGAAAAATTCTTCACCACCTTGTCTTAATTGTATTCTATAGGGAATATCTTTTGTCTCCTTTTCTCTAGGCATGTATGTTCGACTTATTCAACGGTTTGATGCCAGGTATATTTTATAGTTTTGTGTGGTTCTATCTCTATGAAATATCCTTGTAATTTTTAGGAAAGAGTTCCATGGTGATAGCTGGTACTTGGTTTAGATCATCTCAGCTGAGCAGATGTAGAACATTTTTTTTTTCTTTTCAAATATTGCTGATATTTTCTAATTACGAATTAGTTGTTGCATAGGTTGGTAGATACAGCCGTAAAAACATCTCGCAGTGGATATCTGCAAAGATGCCTAATAAAAAATCTCGAATGTCTAAAAGTGAGCTATGACCATACAGTCCGTGATGCTGATGGTTCCATCGTTCAGTTTTGTTATGGTGAAGATGGTGTTGATGTTCATCAAACAAGCTTTCTAGCAAATTTTGAAGCACTGGCAGCGGTGAGAACTTGTTGCTTTACTCTCTGGATTTATTTATTTTTTTTAATCATATGGGTCTCACTATAAATATTGTTAACTGACTTTGTATTTTCAGAATAAACAAATGATCTACAAGAAATGCTGCCGCGGAATTGATAAATCAAGTCCTTACATCAAGGATTTGCCATCTGCTCTTGAAAAGAAAGCTATGAAATTTGTAAATAAGTTATCTGCAGAGAAAAATCTTAACGATTCAAGCCAAGGCGATTTCTTGAAGTTGATGGAGCACAAATATCTCTCAAGTCTTGCTCAACCAGGAGAGCCGGTTGGTGTTCTTGCTGCTCAGTCCGTAGGAGAACCATCAACACAGATGACGTAAGCTTTCTTTTATTCATTTAATTTGATGTTACAAAAAAAATTCTTTTATACTTTTATTAGTTACTCAACCATTGGTGATATTTTCAGTTTTATGTTTGAAAAAAAAAAAAAATTAACTGCCAATTTGAATTTAAATAATTAAGAAAATTATAAAGATGTATCAAGTTTATTTGAGTTAGTTGCATGTCGTAGGATCTGAATGAGTTTCTAATACAGGAGTTTAGTTTATATAAAGAGTTGTGAGTATAAATGATAGCTACTTCATTGTTAGATGCGTGTATATTTTTTGGTTCCATGGAGGATCTCAATTCTCAGGGATTAACAATAGTTTCCCAGCATGGATTTCCCTACAATATTTGTGAATGAAAAGTAGATAAGTAAACAAAGATTGTGAAAATTGCTTTTGTTTGTTTTTAAATGTTAAGCATATCCTCATCTGACAGCATTTATCTAGTAGAATGTTTTCCTCATATGCATAAAATCCACAACCATAATGCTCTTGAAAAGCTCGTTCAAAAGAGAATAATAATTCTCTTGAAAAAGAAATATATTACGGATTGGTACTAGATAAATCTTCACGTTCAAATCTGGTTTTGTGAGAGTTGTTAAGTTAAAGACACTAAATGATGCTCCATAATCATTGCCCTTTGGGGAGAGAATCAAGTTGGTCCTTGCAATTGGAAGGAAGCACACTCTTAGAAGAAGTTCTTAAAATTTAAACCTCAAATTTTCAACCTGGAGAAACATTGCTAGTTCTTTTTGTACTAATTGATATTTGATGACGCATTAAAAAGGTTTCAAACCAGAAAGTGGATTTGGGTTGTAGAAGTTCAATTTATGATGTTGCCTTGGTGATGCTTTTTTTTTCCTTTATTTTTTCTTTTTTTTTCCTTTTTTCTTGTAAGACTATCTAGATTATGAAGATAACCATTGCATTTGGTTGGTCAATCGGAAGAAGTTAAGTGATTGGCTGAGGTTAATACATCCCTAAAGGAAGCCTGGGACTGTTTGATCCAGTGGCATTAGAGGGTTGGTTAGGGTGGGGCTTTTGGGGAAGGTTGCGGGTTCGATCCGGCCTTATATATAATAAAAAAAATCCCTAAAGAGAAATATTTTTGTTATATTGGGAAAGGACTTGTTTTTTTTCCTCCATGACTATATGCTTCTTTATGAATAGTGACTACAGAAATTTTCTTAAAGTATCCTAAATATGTAAATATAAAGATGTTAGTAAATATCCTCTACATGCGAATATTTGCACAATTTATTTTCGTAAATTAGCTTGAACTGTCTTTGTTCTTTTAGCGAAGTTTATTTATACTTGCATTTAGATATGCCTTATGTTTGTTTGTGGATATGATATTTCTCTTTACTTATACGGCCGTGTTAAAATATTTCAGGCTAAATACTTTTCATCTTGCTGGTCGAGGTGAGATGAATGTGACCCTTGGAATTCCACGTCTCCAAGAGATCCTGATGACAGCTGCAATTGATATTAAGACTCCAGTTATGACATGTCCACTTCAAGAGGGCAGATCAGTGTGAGTAGCTTACAATTATTTGGTTGTTGCGCATTGGGTTTTTTTTTTTTTTTCCTTTCCTTTGCGTATGTTAAGATGGATGAGTGGCCATACGAGAATGGATCGCATAAGGAATGAAGTTATTCGTAGTAAAGTAGGTGTAGCACCAATAGAAGATAAGGTGCGCGAAGGCCGCTTGAGGTGGTATGGGCATGTCCAACGTAGACCGCTAGAAGCACCAGTTCGTGCTTGGGAGGACATTCTTATACCTAATACTAGGAGAGGGAGGGGTAGACCAAGAATTACGTGGACCGAAGTCGTTAGGAAAGACATTCTAGATCTAGGTCTTCAGGAAAGTTTAATTTCGAACAGAGCCGTGTGGAAAAGTGAAATCCATATAGCCGACCCCAATTAAGTTGGGATTAAGGCTTGTTGTTGTTGTTGTTGTTGTTGTTTCCTTTCCTTTTTTGTATGATTATTGAGAACAATGAGCATAATGAAACAACTTTTACAAGGATTAATGTTGTGATTTAATTGATCTTGGTGCATGGCTCTTAAAATTTAACGAATAGTGGTTACAAGATGTGTAGAAGTTTCTGAGTCAATGAAACTGACAAAAAGGCCTCTTAAAGCATCTCCAATGAAATGCCCAATTTCTATGCCAACACTAAAATTGACATTTGAGTCGGAACCATTCTCCAATCCAATTCCTTAAGTGTCAAACGTAGCAATACTACACACTTGGTGCCAAATTTAGCACAAAGTATTGCATATTTCAAATTTTGGCATTTGATTGCTTATTGGTTGACGTGTTGACTTTTTCACTTACTATTTACAGCATCGTTGTCTTTCAATTTTTGAAATTATGGGCTTGTTCATTAATACTACTTCGTACGAAAACTTGCTTCAATTTAGCCAATTTATTTACATCTGATTATATTCTATAATTCTAATATGCATGTTCATATTGCTTGCTTTCAGAAGGCCTTCCTGTTTTGTTATGCTTCTATTTGGTGGTTTCTTTGACTGGTCGTGCGTTGTGTTACGTTTTGTAACTTCCGGAGCTTCATTAGTACTCTTGTCAATGTTAATCCTTGGATATAGACTCCTGATTGACATTCTTTTTTTGGATGTTGAATGTTATCATTATTACTTCCCTCTTCCTTGTTGATGTAATATTTTGGAGATCTTTTATGTGCAGGGAAGAAGCCAAGCGTCTTGCTTTTAAGTTGAAGAAAGTCACTGTGGCAGACATTATAGAAACTATGAAAGTTACTGTGGAGCCATTTTCTCTTCAAAATAATCAGATCTGCCGTATTTATAAGCTTGAAATGAAGCTTTACAGACCTGATCATTATCAAGAGTATGCTGGTATTTCATCAGAAGACTGTGAGGAAATTCTTAGTGTTGACTTTCTCAGGGCGTTGGAGGATGCAATAAAAAATCATCTGAATTTGCTTGACAAAATTAACGGAATACAAAATTTCACAGCGGACTCTCAGTCCGTGGCTGCAAGTGATGGGGATGAAGATTTTTCTTCAAGTAAAGCTGAACGTGATGAAGAGGACGATGATGGCGGTGATGGTGACAATGAAGGGCAAGAAGATCTCGGTTTAGACGCAGTAAAACAAAAACGGCAAGCTACAGATGAGATGGATTATGATGATGACTATGACGAGAGAGTTAATGAAGAGGCAACAAGAGCTGGATCTGAGAGTGAAGATGATAATGATGAGGATGAAGTCGAGTTTAGGAAGGATAATGAGGTTGAGATGCTGGATGCTAAAGGTGGACACCTAGAAAGTCCATCAAAAGCTGAAGGCTTCTCCACGTCAGAGTCACTAAAAACAAAGACCAAATCAAGAGCCAAAGGCAAAAAGAAGATCCGAAGACAATTTAATAGAAAGGATGATGATCGGTCAATATTTGTGGAGGCTAAGGGATTTTACTTCAAGGTCCATTTCAGATTTTCTAATGAGGCTCATATTCTGCTGGCCCAGGTACATTCACATTTGCCACCGCATCACCCTTATGCATTCCTTGGCAAAAGCACCTTTTCACGAACCAAATTTTTTTATTTTTGATTTCCTTGTTTCCTGGTGTAGAAAGACGTCATTTTTCTATTAAGTGTCCCTTGCTTTTGCCATGTCAAAAGATCTCGTTTGCTTTTTTGTTTTCAAATCTAGTTAAGCTTACAAATAATACCTTTTCTAAGTTGAAACTGCAATATGGACGCTGTGAGTCCTATCCCATTCATGCTCTTCTTTTCCCCTTTTTCTTCTTTTAGTCATTCACGGGGATAGGTAGAATACTTGCACAGAACCTTTAATTTTCTGGATGCCTAGTTAATAAATGTGTTTTTTTTTAAACATTAATTGAAGAATATATTCATTGATCCGCACGTGAACCACATCTATTATCTTATTTTCATTTTTCATTTTAACCCGGTATTCTTCAAGTGTCATCTATTGTTTAAGCTGTCTTACTATGGCCCCCGACACTTAAACACATAGAAATCTGCACTGAATGGACCAGAACTCCTGGTTGCAGTGAAGACCCTGCAGCCAACTTTCCACTGTGATATGACTGTCCTTGCAACACTTCAAGGTTTTCCAGCGCACCCACCCAAGGTTCTCTTCCATCAGAGGAATAGTCCTAGTCACGGAGGAGTTAATTTTTGGACGGTTTTAATCATCTGTGGGTCATATTTTTTAAGGGGCTAGAAAGAAATTTTAAGTTGGAGAAAGTGAGTTTGATTTAATCTGTTGAAACCCCAAAAAATAATATTTTTCTTTGCAAGTCAAGATCATCTTGTCCTTCGCTTCCTTCAACGCCGTCGAGTCCCACCGCAAGATGATCTCCCCTGCCTCTTCCATCCCTATCTTACTAATCTCTCCGGTGGCTCCATTGCCAATTCCAAATCCAGAAAATATTAAATAATAAATAGATCTTCGGAAACAAAATTGCAAACAGAATAGAATCTGTGAAATAGCTGTCGCCCTCGTTGTTTTTCATGTTTAAATTGAGGAAAACTGAGAAAGTGAAACAATTTCTTTTTTTTTTTTTTGGGTTCTAGAAAGGCAGTTATTGTGATGTGGAATTGTCTGTCTAAATTGGGGAGAGAGGAGGTATATGGAGCTTCTCTTGAAAAAAAATCGTGATCAGCATGTGATTAACTTCGTCCTAAAATTAACACCTTAGTGATGATGTAAGCAAACTTTGGGTGTGTAGATTGCTGCTATATTTTGATTGCCTGGGGCCAACGTGGGAAACACCTCTAATCCTTGGGGGGCCAAAAATGAAAAAAAGAAAACAATTCGCATTGAATTTGACACTGATTCTTGATTTTTTTTAGTATTGACTACACTTACAATTTCATTAGCTAGTGATTCTGCTAGCATGTGTGAACTTGTGACGTGTCAATCATTGTCATTTTAACTGTGTTTTCTATGCTTTATCCCAAAGTTTGTTTGCTCTTTCCATTATGATCTCATAAGCACTTGCCCATTTTGAAATTTATATTTGATTAGAACCATCTATATGCAGATTGCTCAGAATACAGCCACAAGGGTTTACATCCAAAGCTCCGGTAAGGTTGATAACTGTCAACAAATTACTTGCAAAGAAAATCAAGTTATTTACTATGGGAAAGACCCCAAAAGTAGGGATGATATTCCACTCGAAGAAAAAGAAAATATTCCAGCATTGCAGACTTCTGGGGTGGATTTTATGACGTTTTGGAAATTGCAAGACATTCTTGATGTCAGGTATATATATTCCAACGACATCCATGCCATGCTTAATACATATGGAGTAGAAGCTGCCAGAGAAACCATCATTAGGGAGATAACTAATGTCTTCAAGTCCTATGGAATATCTGTCAATATTCGGCACTTGACCCTTATTGCTGACTTTATGACCCACACTGGTGGATATCGGTCAATGAGCAGGCATGGTGGCATAGCGGACTCGATCTCCCCTTTTAGTAAAATGTGTTTTGAGACGGCTTCCAAGTTCATAGTTGAAGCCGCCTATCATCGTGAAATGGATGACTTGGAAACTCCGTCTGCTAGAATTTGTCTTGGACTGCCGGTGAAGGTTGGTACAGGGTGTTTTGATTTGATGCAGAAGTTAGAAATTTGATGCAAAGGCTGTAACTTGCAATTTAAGGGACTCTCTACCAAGTCCACCTCTTATCTGTCTGTATTCTATTTGAAAAATTTTGCCTCGTAAAATTTACAGGATTTTTAAAAAGTCTGCTATTTATTGTTGCGGGAATTATACCTAATATTGTTTTTTAGGTCAAATTCTGTTCGGACATGAAAAGTATGAAGGAACAGTCTATTTTTGACGTTCTAACGGGGGGAAAAAAGAGTCTCTTTTGGAGGGGTTCTCTCTATTTGTTATGAAGTTTGAGGAAAAAAAAAAAAAAAAGAGAATTGGTAAACTCACCATTTGACTGCATTGTTTTAAGATTTTTACTCTAATTCTTGATTAATAATCTTTTAGCTAATATAATTCTTTGATTAAAGGGTATTAATCAAGTGTAAAAAAGTAAAAACTCAAGGTCCATGTATTTCTAAAGAATATTTGTCTAATTTTTCTATAAAACAATGATCTTTCAAGGATTAGTTGTTCTGTTTGGCAAATTGTCAAGGATATTTGCTCAAATTTTCTCATCTCGGGTGCAGAAGTGCGATTCTATGTATAAACAATGTAAGTCGTTAAAAAAAATATGAATCCAAGAGTTGCCGTCATCTACTAATAAATTATCATTCTAGTTTGAATTAGAAAATTGGCTAAGTTTTGGACTAGGCTTAATTCACTGCTGCCCTTGGCTCTTGTTAGATATGACATTCCAATTTCAAATGACCTCAGAGTTGATGGTTAGCAGCAAAAGATTGTTGCATTCATAAGTTACAATTTTATAAGGTACAAAATATCCAATCTCAATCAAAACAAGACTATGGTTTAAGTTGTGGCTACACAATTTTAAGGAGAGGGGAAAAGGTTTTTTTGACTCTAATATAAGTGGACTATTATTGCTGAATATTGAAGGGCACTAGTCAAAGCACATTGTACGGCACCATAAAAAATGTACGAGCAGTGAATGTTAAAAGGTGGTAATCATGATGAGGCAGGCTCAGCCCCATCATGGAGAGCACAGCAAACAGTTGCTTTGTGGTGGCCTTGATACACCCTTATATCTTCACCATTTGACATCGACCAAAGCCTTGCTGTTGTATCAGAGGAAGCTGCAAAAGGAAAAATAATTATATGACATGAGAATTCAATCATGAGGATCCAAGAGAAAAGGCTCAAAAAAAAAAAAGAATATCTTATGACTTGAGATAGACCCGAAAATGAGAGAGACGGTGCAACTGAAAAATGAAATCACAGCCCGGCAGTTTTATGTTTTCGGTCGAAGTCCATATAGTTATTTGGTAACAATCTTGTCTTAACAGCATTTGATAAAAAAGGGTGTTCTTTTTTGCATAAGATGAAAGTTTAAGTAATCCCATTTCTTGAAGTCAAAATACCTGTTATAAGATAGGCACCATCCACTGAGAAAACACAGTCCCACACCCACCGTTGGTGTCCTATAAAGCCCAAGAAAAGAACAATAAAATGAATATGTTAGTAGGCAGGAACAATCAGATTAATACGTGAATATAAAACTAATGAATAAATAATTTTAAGCTGCAAGCAAGTAGGCTACCAGTTAAAGTCTTCTCCAACGTAAAACCATCGACGTTCCAAATCTTGACGGTATGATCGCAAGATGCAGTAGCAAGATATCTGAAAACACAGCCCACATGGATAGTCTAAGTCAAGGCAAGAGGAAATATGATAAAAAGGTAAAACGGCATGGAATTAGCTTTGATGAAGAAACCTATGTGGTTCACAGAACTCAGGGGAAAGCAGACACTTGAGAATGTAACCCTTATGTGCTTGTAGCTTATGAAGTGGCTCAAAGTTTGTCATCGTCTGTGACCGAAAAAAAAAAATCATTATGGAAGAAACCAATTACAAAACCAAGGTCAAATCAGATAATTGAGTACATCAAGATGGAACCTGTGTCCCCCGTAACAGGCGCCAAACATAACAGGTCCCATGATTATTTGCTGCAACTACCAAGCTGCCATCCCACATAACAGTTAGCGACCTTACTGCTGTATCCACCTCTGGCACCTAAGTTGGATTGGAAACAAATTTAGTAAATGTGCTTTCGAGGGAAATATTAAGTTGAGGCACGTAAACTTTTCCTGTGAAAATGGCTTTGCCTATTGGAAAAAAGCAACTTGTTGCATCAAGACGCACACTTCTTATAGTTACGTTATGTATCAGGAGTGGATTCGAGAATTTCATAACATTGTGCGTTAAGGATTCAGCGATTCAAATATTTGGCAGAATTGGATCTATAATTTCTCTAGGTCTCATAGTTTGTCCATCATCCACATTAATTTATAGGGGATACTACAAGATGTTGATTCAAGTAACACTTTCCATTCAGACACATCTCCATTTTTTTCTAGACCCCAACAAAAATGAAAACTTGCATCTAGAAACAAAGGATATATTCTGTAGGTCAAACATTTGATAAGAACGAATGGCAAAGGTTAATAACAATTCACAGAAAGTTTCCAAAGTAAATCTCAAACACTAAGATAAAATAAAAAGTTATAGAACCAAGCCGTACCAATTCACAGCTACACGAATTTGCAGTCAAATCCCACACACGAATATTTCCATTTTGATCTCCAGATATCAACTCTGTCTGCAAACCACATATCAAGGAGCTGCTTACATTTGGCTTATATTTTAAGGTTGAGATGGTCTAATTGCTTAATTGAGTGAATCGTACATAATTAAACTTACCTAGGAAAAAAAAAAAAACCCCCATATATTTCACTATTCCACTTCCCCAATAACACTTCAGATCACAAAAATGAAAGAAAATGCAACTATCTTAAGAAGAAAATACTAGAAGCCAACTTTAACCAAAAGACACTGGATATTAGCACAACATGTAGAATTCACGGAAGTATCTTCATCTCATACTTACTACTACAGTATACAAGAATCAACATTTTCATCAAGTTTTCAAACACAAAGTAAAGAAATTGAGAGAAAAAACTTGGTAATTTATTCAATTAGAAAACTAATTCTGTACAACCTATATGTAGATACAGGGCCACCGGTTCTCTTACTCACTGATAGCTAGCAAATCTCCTAATTAATCAAGAAATCATTCCTAAAACATCTCAAGTCAACTTTCTCTAATTACAGACTCTAATTACCCTAAATCTACCACATAAATAGAGAATAAAATACAAATAAATTACAGCCTCTGCATTCCTAAGGTTAAGGAACCGGGATCATAATTCAACACTCCCCCTCAAGCTAGGAATATATGTTAATCATTCCTAGCTTGGAAATAAAATCTTCAGATGTAGTTCGAGGTAGAGCCTTTGTGAATACATCTGCAATATATCTGCAACTTGTAGATTTGATGGAGTGTAAATCAAATCTATTAACCCTTCCTCCACACTTCTCTTAACATTCTTCTTGAAGAATAGACCTTTTCCCGGTGTCATTTTCAGGTATATCAATATTCTGTAAACAGCTTCAAGATGTTCTTCATTTAGATTGCTCATGAATTGACTTACCACACTCACAGAAAATCGGATATCTGGTCGTGTGTGGGAGAGATAAATCAATTTACCAACGAGTCGTAGGTATCTTCCCTTATCAACTGGAGGACTTTCTTTTGCCAACCCTGCCTTATAGGTCGACTCCATAGGAGTTGCAGCAGGCCTGCAACCCAACATTCCTGTCTCCTTAAGCAGGTCCAAGACATATTTCCTTTGAGAGACAACAATCCCCTTCCTTGACCAAGCTACTTCCATGCCAAGAAAGTATTTTGGAGTCCCAAGATCCTTTACTTCAAATTCTCTGGCAAGAACACCCTTCAATTCTTCTAATTCTTCAACATAACTTCCAGTTAGGATGATATCATCGACATAGACAATAAGAACTGCCACTCTACCATCCTGTGAGTGTTTTATGAAGCAAGTGTGATCCGCTTGCCCCTGTATGTATCCATATCGTTTGATAGCTTTTGTAAACTTATCAAACCATGCTCTCGGGGATTGTTTTAGGCCATATAATGACTTCTGTAGCTTACATAGCTCATTAGTATTCCCAGCATTTTCAAAACTAGGAGAATCTCCATGTAGACTTCATCTTCTAGGTTCCCATTTAGAAAGGCATTCTTAATATCAAGTTGAAGAAGTGGCCAATCGAAATTTGCAGCCAAGGATAATACCCGAACTGTATTGAGCTTTGCAACCGGGGCAAACGTTTCTTGATAATCAACACCATAGGTTTGAGTGAATCCCTTTGCGACGAGTCTTGCCTTATAACGCTCTAAACTGCCATCAGCCTTATACTTCACATCAAAGATCCATTTACAACCAACTGGATGTTTTCCTCTTGGTAGATCCATAAGTTTCCATGTCCCATTCTTCTCCAAGGCCCTAATTTCATCCTCAACAGCATTCTTCCACTTTGGGTTCTTCAAGGCTTCATATATATTTCCGAGAATTTCTACATTGGAAAGATTAGCAGCAAAGGCACGATATTGTGGGGAGAGGCCTTTAAAAGACAAAATTATAAATGGGATGTTGGGTACAAGATCTGAATCCTTTTCTTAAGGCAATGGGAATATTAAGATCACTATCTGAAATTGAATCAACTTAAGTTTCAGTTTCTTGAGGTATACCTGGACTTTCATGAATTGAGTCAGATTCTTGGTAGTGTTGGGAGTATGTGGTTGGTTCTATCTCATCTTGGTTCCTCTTCCTTCTGGAGTACACAAGTAGTTCTTTATTTCCTACAAGCTGTGTAGGAATTGAACTAGAGGTAGAAGTGAGAGGCTCGGGAGAAGCATTAACTACTAGAACCGAGTTGAATGGGACTGAACTTGGACTAGACATGGCTGGATTCGGACTAGACATGGCTGGAATGACAGTTGGGACATGTTTAGAATTTCACTCAAGAATCGTGTTGGTGTTTTCATTTCCTGGTTGGTGACACAAATAATGATGGGAATAATTGTGTTATTTACTGTTGAATATTCATAAGTCAAAGTTAGGAAATTTATTTTAGGAAAGTATTTTAGGAATAAAGGAGAGATTAGTTGTGATCCTCTCTCATGATTCTGTTTCCTGATTTTTAGGAAAGATTTAAGTTAGTTAGTACTGAATTATGTACATTAATTAGGAGATATTGCTTAAATTAGAATAGCTAGCATATCTTTCCTAGTTTAGGGGCAGTTCCTATTTTTTAGGAAAGATCCTAGGAATATCTTGAGGATAGTTTCCCTATCCTATTAAGTTCCCTAGTTTCCCGATTCTGTTAGCCACGGGACCTAGGTCTGTTGTACACCTATTTATACTCCTGCTTTCTACCGATTAAATCAATAAAGGTTTTATATTTTTTCCTCAGAAACTATCATGGTATCAGAGCCTGGTTTAGGACTTTACCTTTGTCCGCCATGGCCAAGAATCCAGAAAACCTTCCCTCAACCCAAACTGTACCCTCTGCCTCTTCTAATAATGCTGATTTCAACCCTAATGCTTCCATTCAAATTACTAATGTACGTTTTGTTGGAGATTTAGTCAATTAATTGTAAATATTCATTTGTATTCTTTCCATATTGTTTGATTTAGTCAAAATAGGAAAGTATAAATTAGGAAGATATTATAAGATTGTCTAGCATAATTTAGGGATTCTTTTCCTTAGTTTTTCTTTCCTAATTGCCGTGACTTATGGCTCACAAAGTGTATATATTCTGACAAGGTTAATGAGAATAATCAAGCAAGAATTATTCTTCTCTCTGTTTTTCTTGTTTCATGGTATTAGAGCCAACGGTACTGGTGACTAGTCAAGGAAAAAAAGTCTGGAGGACAGCCAAATACGCCCTCAGAGGAATCTTCAACAGTAGTCAATCCAGCATCTTCAGGACCTATATCCGGATCCTCATCTACACACTCGCTTGACAGCCACTCTCTGCAAATCACACAGCAAAAGCTTAATGGGCTAAATTTCCGAGAATGGTTTCAGTCCGTTATCCTTGTGGTCAGAGGAAGAGGGAAGGTTGGATACTTGACAAGAGCAATCACAGCACCACCGGACACAGCACCAAATTACAGTACTTGGGAGGTAGAAAATTCGATCGTCATGGCATGGCTTATCAATTCTATAGAGCCAAGGATTGGACGAACTTATCTGTTTTACAAGACAGCAAAGGAGATTTGGGAGGAGGTCCAAGAAATCTATTCCGATCTTGAAAACGCGTCACAATGTTTTGAGATTAGATCGAAGATTCGCAACACCATCCAGGGAAGTCTTACTGTCACTAAGTATTATAATTCTTTTATGGACTTATGGCAAGAAATGGATCTCTTTTATGAGATTGGATGGCTGTGTGCTACTGACGCAGAAAAATACAAAAAAATGCTCGAGAAAGAGCGTACCTTTGATTTTTTGCAGGGGCTGAATCCGGATTTAGATGAAGTACGTGGACGGCTGCTTGGGATGAAACCGTTTCCAACCCTCCGAGAAGCTTTTGCTGAAGTCAGGAGGGAAGAAAGTAGGAAACGGGTAATGATGAATCCCTATAGCCGTGACGCGCCTTCCTTGGAAACACGAGGGTCTGCACTTGTGGTGAACAAACAAGATGGCAGTCGTGGGTCTCAATACAAACAAGATGGCAGCCGTGGTTCTCAATCAAAGGACAAGGCCTGGTGTGATTATTGTAATAAGCCCTATCACACTCGTGAAACTTGCTGGGATTTACATGGCAAGCCACCAGATTGGAAACCAAGGAAGCAACGTGGGCAATCCAGTTCAGCCTACATAGTGGAGTCGAAATCAACCCGCATGGTGGAGACAGATTCAGATAGGGCTGCTGGACTTAATTTCTCAACAGAGCAGGTGGAAATGCTACGACAGCTTCTTAACCAAACTCAGGTCTCAACAGGATCCGCAAGTCAGAATTCAAAACTTCCCACTGCGGCTATGGCACAAACAGGTATAATGAGTCAAGCATTCTTGTCAAAGTCACTGCAAGCAGATTATTGGATTGTGGATATAGGGGCTTCTGACCATATGACCGGGTCAATGGAGTTTTTTGAAAAATATGACAAGTGCAATAACTTGATTAATGTATGGGTTGCTGATGGAAAAATGTCACATGCGGTTGGGCGTGGTTTGTTTACCGAATATGACATTGAAATCGGTTTTACATGTGCCTAAATTGACATATAATCTTTTGTCAGTTGGTAAGTTAACAAAAAATCTTAATTGTGTTGTGACTTTTTTCCCTTCTCACTGTGAATTTCAGGACCGTTCTTCGGGGAAGATGATTGGCATTGCTGAGAAGAAAGATGGCCTATACTATCTCTTAGGAGCCAGGGATTCCAGTAGAGCTAAGTCACAAAATAAAATGTCCATGTCAGGTATTTCTAATTCTGACATTATGTTATGGCATCAACGCTTAGGACACCCAAGTTTTTCTTATATGAAAGTCTTGTATCCTAATCTTTTTATCAATAAAGAGAAAGTTTTGTTTCGTTGTGAAGAGTGTGTTCTTGCCAAACAAACTAGAGTAAGATATCCACCACATACATACAAACCCTCAAGACCATTTCAGTTGATCCATAGTGATATCTGGGGTCCATCTAGGTCAGTTAATTTAACTAGAACTCAGTG